GTGGTAAAAATTTCAGCCCGAAAGCTTCATTAGTTTGGTGTTGACGGAATTTGTTATCTAAGAAGATGCTATTTTCAATTCATTTTTCCCAAGCTCAAAGACGTTGTAGAGTTTCGATCATTAGTTATTTTTGTATAATACTTGTATTGACATATGCATTTACTGAGAATTTCATTTTTCAAATTTAATTTGTTTAAAAATGACTGAAAAAATGTTAATATTTATTGAATTGTTAAGATAGGTAATTATTATAAAATAGTAACCTCTACAGTTTAGTTAGTACTATTTTTCTTCAAATTTTAAAAAAAATCGTTTTAAGTTGATTAGAAGCCGAGATATTTTTTTTTTATTTAATCGCAGTGACCACCTTAATTATTAATATTAAGAGCCGAAATTTGGCGAGAGTATTGATTTTTTACTGAAAAAGTGCTTGTCTTCGGATAGTTTTTTGCAAATAACTCTGAAACCGTTGGCTTTAACGAAAAAGTTGTAATGAACAAAAAGAAAGGTAATAAAAAACAAATCTAATGGCATAATTTTGTTTTTCTCTAATTGCCATATAAACCGAGATATGGATTTTTAAACATTATTACATGTTATCTAAAAACTAAATTGGAAAGAGTTAAAGCCAAAACCATAAATATTAGGAAAAAAACTATTTGAACCTTTTTTAAAGTACTTTGAAAAACCTTTAAAATGAGCTGTTTTAAAAGTCTTTAGAATCAAAATTAACGGAAATATTATCGAAACAACATGGTAGTCTCATTTTTTTTAAGAAAAAATTAATAAATAAATCAGTGCCTTTGGCGACAGAATTAAAATTGAATGCAATCCATTTACAGATTTCTTCATTTATGTTCTAAGAATATGTTCTGGGTTTTTGGTTCACTTACAAAGCATGATTTCGAAAAATAACTTAATTTTTGAAAATGTTAATTTATCCAATTTTTGAAAAATAATCGATTTTTACGCTGTAGCTTAAAAATTAAAGAGTGAACGAAAAAATACAAGGGTAAAAAATTTTGCTTTATCTTTGCTGAAGATTTTGCTTTTTTTTATTATTCCTCTAAAATTAATATTAATAGAGATATCGCCATTTTAAGTTATTATATAAATGAGAGAATTACCCTTTTCTAGCCCTTTAAACCTTTCAAACTTAAAAATGAAGGGCTTAAAAAAGATCAACTCAACAGTTCACGTAGCCCTTACAATTCCCTGCAAAATGAGCCTTTGTGCGATTAAAAATCTTAAAAAGTAAGAAAGTTATCGTCAAAAAAATAAACACTGTATAGGTGATAATTTTAGAAAAATATACGAATGCACATTTAAAATGTTTCTACTCCTTCAATAATATTTTTTCATTTTATTTTCGAAAGAAGGGGTATTTTTCAAGGGTTGAAAAGTTGGAATCGATAAAAATGATTTTTTAATCAGAAATCAATTTTAATTTGATCAAAATGCATGATTAAAACCTTTCAAGTTGAAAAAAAAATTTATATTATTTTCATCCAAAGGGGTAGTTTTTAGAGGTTTTTCCGGGTTGAAAATTTGGGAAACATGTTAGATAGCACATGAGATTACTCATGCTGCATAAATAAAAAAGATTTTTTCCAATAAGGGGTGGTTTCCCCCTCAAAAACAAAAAGCACACTTAGCGTATATATAAGTTTTGAAGTTTGATGAACCTAATTCTAAATTTTGAGAAAAATCGAAGCAGTCATAAAAAATTCGGATGTGTTACTATATTTTCAGCTACAATAACTGGCCTAAAAGTACTAAATCTATACCTAATTATTGTAAGTTGAATATCCTATAATATGGCAACATTGCATCGTCGTGTTTACAGTTCTAGCGGTGCAGTGTTTAAAATTTCTTCAATTTTGAGAATAATTTTGTCGAATTTTATCTGCATTGTGTGCCGATCATAATTCATGTTATTTGAAGTTGAAATAAATATAATAAAAAGTCATGCCTGTATCGGGAATCGAACCCACTACCTCTCGCATGAAAGGCCAACGCGCAACGCTTTGCGCCACTGGACCACCCTTCCTAAATGTTCAAGTCATGGGTTATTAAAGTGTGTATATTTTGAAATACCTAATTTGTAATTACATAATATGTTATAGTATAAAAATTATATTATGTAAACAAATTAACTATATATTGAATAAATAAATAATGAATCTAAAAAAAGGTGATACAATTTTTGCTACTGTTTCCAAATTGCAAGAAATTTGGGACAGGACGCTGCCTGATGAGATATAGGTAATACCTGCCAGAATTAAAACTGTCATTATTTGTTCAACTATTTTAAGACACCTTGTATAACTTTGTATTAACTTACCAAATAGTCCATTATTATGTCATTTCTAAATATAAATGTTTGCTGTTATGCACACAATGGAATAATTTCATGCAGTTTTTATCGTCTTTGGACAGTGTGGATTAAAGCAGACAATAAAATCAACATCTTTGTTAAAGCTGGCAATAAAACGCTTTGTTTGTTGCCTATTATATCATCATAAGGTATAAAATGTACGAATTGTATATTTTTTGTAATAAGTTACACCAAAAAAAGATGAATATATCTATTATAAGGACTTGCCTGTCTTATGCTATCTAAGAATTAAGTTTTGTATGTTTCTAATTGTAAGTGCCACCTTCCAAATATATAATTTTTAATTCAAATAAATTATATAAAAACAGAATTATTATTTATTAAATTATTATATATTAGAAAATTTGAATATTTTTGCAATTTTTCACGTACTTATACCTACAACCTACCTAGCTTTATTTCATTTTATAATAATTGCTTTTAACAATTTAATAAATATTAACATTTTTTCAAAGTAAGTTTTAAACAAATTAAATTTGAAAAATTAAATTCTCAGTAAATGCATATGTCAATACAACTATTTAGGTACAAAAACAACTAATGATCGAATCTCTACAACGCCTTTGAGCTTGGGAAAAATCAATTGAATATAGCATCTTCTTAGATAACAAATTCCGTCAACGCCAAACTAATGAAGCTTTCGGGCTGAAATTTTTACCACTTATTAAGGGTGTAAAAAGCCTAAAGAATCCTGAATTACTAGTGTCTGCGATAAAAATTGCAATAATTGTTAGCAATCGAAAAAAACGGCCATTTTCGACCATTTTTGAGCTCTTGCGCATAAACAAATTATCGGAATTTAATCGGACTTGTCTTATTTTATAGGCTTATTTAATACCTACCTTTTTGTATAAACTTTTTTTCCCTATGAATAATAGTTTTTTTACCCGAGTCAAAAAAACACTTTTCCGTAACTTTGACCATTGTTTGAACAGTTTCCCAACTAGCCTCGAGTTGATTTTTTGATATTTTGTTTATAACACGTCTCCGAACAATATTCTGCAGAGAAACTTCTAATAGTATTTTTTTCCCGAAACAGGCTGTATCATGTCTATAATGACTGGACTATGTATTTGAACCAATTTGACGGTTAGATTCAAAACATGAGTGAAAATCTCGACTTTTAATCGACGAAGTCTGACTGTTTCTAACGACATATTCTATGTTCTATGTTTCCATGTTCTCAGACGTATACACCTTACTGTCGGAGTGATTTTGGAGCTGTTTAATGCTGTATAGGCGATTTATTGTGTTTTGGATCGGAAACATGAGCGATTTTTAATTTTTTTTTCTCCAGTCTTTTTCAAAATAAATGTCTGCTATGAATTTATTGATTACATCATTTTAAATTGAATCAACTGTCTCTATTCCGCTATAAGGTCGTTAAGGCAAGTACGCGCATTAACTTCTCGCCATTGGCGGGTCCAGACGACGACGCAAGTAAACAATAACGCCGAACAATACACACGCAGCATTTTTTGAAGTGATTTATACCCGCCCGTGCGAACTCCTCTATTGTCGGCGTAGGATTTGTTCATTTTATTCCGTGGAAAGTTGGGGTGTTGCGTCGCAGGCGGCGGCAAAGTAAGTCGCGAGGATTCCATTCGGTGCCGTCCCTTTGTCAGGACGTGATTGTGTCCGAGCCCGGGGGCGACGCTTTCAAGTCCCCCGATCGACCGAAGTGTCGCGTCCGGTACTTAAGAATATTTACTGGATGAAAAAGTCTGGACGTCAGGCTTCTTTATAAATCGACCGCCTCCATCGCGATTACCAGAGGCGTGCGCGGGTCCCCGAAAGGGGCACAGTCACAGCCGAAGGCTCCCATGGAAGAAAATGCGTCTTCTGATAGACTTTTATTTATATTTGAAATTCCTCCATTCCATTAACTAGTCATTGGAAAATAATTGATTGTTCGTTGTTTAAAGTGCATGAAGGTCAGAAAATATTGTCATTACTCAATACGAACGTCAAACGTATAACTTTTGTGCTTACAAAATGTTTTCATTCAGAAAAAGTTGCTACGTTGCTAATTTACGACGAGTCACAAAAAAATTCAAGAAGAGCTGTAGAGTTATATCGAGAAAGGTATCCAGAGCGCTTCATTCCTGATCATAGAACCTTTACAAGATTGGAGACGATCTTACGACGAAATGAAGATGCATTTTCTGTTCGGAAAAATCAAATAATTGACCGAAGAATAAAAAACAATGATAATACAGTTAGACTGTTCCAGTATTTCGAACAAAATCCACGAAATTCTATACGGCAGACTAGCCGGGAATTGAATTTGAATAATAATGGATTTTTGATATAATATAATTAACCTATTTCTGCATTTCTAGGATTGCTCTTGTTTTCAGTGGGCTTAATTACAATTTTTTTATTTTTCCTCCAGTCGAAGACGTATTACTAAATTTTGTTAAACAAACTACCCCTTTTTATCGCCTTATATCGCGTTAGCTGTTCTTATTACGTCGCCCGGCTCGTTCCTCAGCCAGGAAAAAACAATTGCCGTATAAAACAAAGGACCGTCGGGTCCGTGTATATCTCCGGAAGGAGAGACTAAGAAGGCCGTGCGGTAATAACATAAATAACCGTAAAAATGTGTTGCCGGGTAGTGATAACGTTAAATAAATGCATGAAGCCCATTCCCGGGGACTTAAATTATGCCTGTGTCCACTCGGAAGGAGAGAAAGGAGCTCGGTCGCCCCTAGCTCGTAAAAAATGGAAAGAAAAGGAATTTCACAAAGGTTATCATAAAGAACTTTTGTTCAATCGATACCGTGTTTGAAGAAGAAATTTTTACACTCGACTAGATGGCCGCTGATCCACTCATATAATACGGCTTGCTATATACCTTCTTTCTATGTTGATGTAAACGGTTTTCTGGGTAAACCAGGAATAGACGTTGTTGGTGACTATTTACGAATGGCATTCACATAAATTGAAGACAGTAAATTGACGAGAATGTCACAAGAGAAATTGTTTTTCCTTTATGAACAAGTTTATACAGGGTGGTACGAGTTTTTAACCGAAAATATTCTCCGGGTGACAGGAAAACTAATTCTACACCCAAAGTTTCATAACAGTGTTTATTTTCGATTGTTTTTAAATACTTTTGACGTTGTTTCATGTAAAATTATGACCTACCGTTATTCGGTCACTAACTTAGCTTTTACTGCGCTTTTAATCCGTAGTAAACGTCAAGGAAAAAATACGCAAAAAAGTAAATTTAAAACGAAAAATAATGTCTCAGTTCATTCCTGCGCCCCCTTTTGGTCGAATTTTAAAATACAGATACACAACTAATAAGTACTGTGAGGCAATGCGTTCTGAATTGATTAACAAAAGTAACGAGCGTTCAAATAAAAACGTGGTCAAGTTGGTTCTGAAAATTTGGACGTAGGGCGTAGCGTACAGCAAATGAACTTAAACGTCATCTGTCAAAGCGCTATGTCGCCGCTATCAATTTGAATATTTTCGTTTTAAAATGCGTTTAAAATGGTGTTTTCTCAAGAACAAAAAGTGTTTATCATAGAGTCCTACTTTAGAAACGGACGCAAGATTGATGGAATATGGAAGTATTCTATTGAGGAATGTTTCATAGAATTTCAAAATCAATTTCCCGGCGTTGTTGAGTACAAAATTTTTCAAAGTGCAGTTCAGCGTTGTGTTAATGTTTTTCGTGAAACGGGCAGTGTAACAAGAAAAGAAGGAAGCGGCCGACCTAAAAAGCGGACTGAAGAATTAAAAGAAAATGTCCAACAAATAATGGAAAATGCGCCAAGAACTTCTGTACGTGTTTTATCACAAATGGTGGGAGTATCAGTCGGTACCTGCCACACAGTGTTAAAAAAAGATTTGCGTTTGTTCTCCTATCGTTTAACTTGTCAGCAAGAACTTCATGAAGTTGATTTTCCGTGACGGGCTGTATTTTGTGAATGGTTTTTAAACAACTACGGTGAACTTCATAATATCACCTTTTTTTCTGATGAAGCCTGGTTTCATTTAAGTGGTTACGTAAACTCACAGAGTATGAGAATGTGGTATTCTGAAAAACCAGATAATTTTTTTGTCGAGGGCCCTCTACACGCTCAAAAAATTGGAGTTTGGTATGCTCTCAATCGAAGGAGGATTTATGGACCTATTTTTTTTAATGGTACTCTTACTGCGCAAAGGTATAGAGAAGAAATTATCGCTCCTTTTGTTAACCAGCTGGAAGAAAACGTAATTACAAACTTTTACTTTCAACAAGATGGCGCAAGGGCACATACGGCAGGCGAGACGATGAATCTGTTGAGGGAAGTTTTCCAAAATCGACTAATAAGTCTCAATGCTGAACATGAATTTCCACCGAGGTCATGTGATATTACGCCGTGTGATTTCTTTTTGTGGCCTTACCTTAAAAACACTATTTCTGAACTGCCTATTCCTGATTTAAACCATCTGCAGGCGCGACTTATAGACAAGATTCGTGAAATTAACCCCGAGCATCTTAGAAAATGTCTTTAATTCTTTGAGGAACAGGTGTAAAAAGTGCTTGGAACGAGGGGGACACTTTCCGCAGCTCCTTTAATTGTTTGTTATTGTTATCACGATTATTCTTTAAAATAAAGTTATATAGTCATTACCGTTATTGAAACTGACAGCTGCTATACAGCTCGTTGAGAAATGAGGTTAAGTTGGTCTCTATAAGCTACTCCCTACGTCCAATGTGTCAGAGCCAACTTCCACCACGTTTTTATTTGAACGCTCGTTATTTGTTTGTACCTTGGTGTTCGTGGTGGTATAAATCCGTTACACTAATTTATGAAATATCTCCTCAACGGTTAGCTTTAGCCATTTTCAATAAGTATACCGTTTTTGTTCAAAAAAGTCCAATTTCATATTTTGTTACTAAAAGCTGTATACGGAGGTTGGCAAAAAAGTTACTACATGTTCAATGCATAACGTTGCCTGCAGAGGGCGCCTCGTATTCGACACTCAAAAATCATTATTATATTATTTTTCCCATCATTAAAAAACCTCTGTTGAAAATTTGAAACATTTCCGACTAAAATTATAAAAATTATTAAGGAAAAACCATTTTTTATTTTTCACTTTGACACCTTTTGTACCTTTTTTATTATGCGACTTGGGATATAGGTATGTTAGGTTAAATCGACTTATTTTCACCCAAGGAACCTCTGGTATCATTTGTGCCCCTCCATTTAAATACACCCTGTATAGTGTTTTTTTTATCGAAGACCTTTAGTTGCTTTTTTCTCCCGTTCTTGAGACCTCAAAGGGACCATAAAAATTAGGAACTGCGAAATAATCGACTCCGTAAGTAGAAAAACAAATTCGGAACAAACAATAAATACCAACGATACATCTCTCGGCCCTGGTACTGACAAGTTTAGGCTTCCTGTAGATAATAATACACAGGGGTGGCATTGTTGGTTAAACAGCGACTTCTCGGTTGTTGAATGCCTCGTGAATGGGATAAGACGTCGCCCCACCTCCTAAATCTCGACTTGAACCCCTCATGCGTGGTCTCGATATATAAAAATCGAGAAATCTTCACCTTTCACTAGCAGCATCCATTTGTCACGTGGTGGATGAATAAAAGTGAATAAAGGAATCGGCTTTGGCAGCCTAAAAGACTGATTTTACTGATTTATACGTTTTGTTGGAGCTTCTTTATATTTATACAGAAAGTTTCTCTATCGATTTAGAAAAAGGCGATGATATATCGATGCCCGCGAGGCCTGCATGCGCTTTGTAGTTTCGCCGGTAGTTTTTTCCTCGGCCAGCCGCACATTCGCAAATTCTAAAAGAACAGGGTGCTTCTTTAATAATGCCATCCAAAAACATCTATTACACACCATAAAAGGGATAGGTTAATAGTTATTTACACCATAAAGGAGGTTAAGTATTATTTACCAGTCGAGGACGATTTTGCGCCCGAGCGGAGCGAGTCCGAGACTGGTAAATTATACTTAACTGCTGCGTGTTGTATAACATTTTATCTGCTCCTACAGTTCTTTATGGTTCATGAAATAAAGATTAGGTTTTATTTTTTTTTACATTTCTTAATCAATTCATTTTGACATTATTCGAAAATTATCTTGCAAAGTCGCCTATACACCTAAAAAGTCAAACGTTTTTACAAGAGACAAGAATGCACAGTTTTTGAAACAAGAACATCCTGAAACATATACAAGCGATACGAAGAACATCGGCAACGTTACAATTACTATAAATATTCATTCATAATAATTAATAAAATGTAATGTTCATCAAATATTTCTATTTATTTGTTCATAAAATATGCGTTTATAACTCGAAATCGCTTTTTTCCCTAGGGAGATAAGTTACCTGACTTACCTCCCGTTGTCCATAGCAACTTCCACTTCTACGGTAAAACCCACTTACCTCCTAAAAACAATGTATAATAGTCTATTTACTATATATAGTGGGGGGTAAATAAAATTCAGTTTTTATTTTATTTCTCGTAGCTGGAGAAACATGGGATATTTCTTTATCGCATCAAAGGTTTGCTTCCACTGATATTTTTAATCACTGCAACCCTCGAAAGGTGTTGAAAATTCTTACAGTAAATCATTAGCAGCTAAACACCTTTATGGAAAACGTTGTTCAGATCGCGTTATCCCGTACCATATGACGTTTAGTCGTTTACATCGGCGTCTTGGGGAAACTGGGAGTTTTAAAAGACAGACAAAACTCCCAACTGCTGATATTGCGGGAAGCAACTACTCCATGCCAATTTAATACAAGAGTATACAATCAGAATGAGGTTAGGACTATCAAATAAGCAGTTTGCACTTACGCAATATAGATTTGAACTCAGATAAAAGTTAATGGTCTCTTTACCAGTGCCATAAATGAATGTGTTGTACAAAATCTAAGTTAGTCCAGCTCTAAAAAAAATTAGGCACCCTGAAGATGATTTAGATAACCCGAAACGTCTCTAGAACTGAAAACATACAAAACAGATTAAGACAATTCATATTAGAAAGAAAAATATGTGCCGAAGGACCAGATACCGACTGCAAATATTCTTTGCAGCGCCCGCTAGATAGTGGATAAATCTGAGCCGTACGACTCACCCCGCACGCCCTCTGCGACCGTGTAAGAATAAGGAAAGTTGTATTTCGGTTATCCAACTGAGTATCTGAGGATTTTCTGCAATTTTATCCCCGGAGGCCGCGACGTGCGCCGACTAGTAAGCCGTTCATCGGCGGAGAGAGCAGCGGCATAAAAAGTAACTGACAAGTGTGAGGTCCCGGGGACAGGGAAATTCCTCGAGAAATCACCAGAAACGAAAACGGAGAAATTTCCTTAAAAACGTCAATCATCCGCTTCGCTGATGAAACTCCCCGCTCTCAATGACAAACCTCCAGGAGAAAAAACTGAATTCGCCGTTGTGCCGAGAATTTTAATCAAAGTTTTTGTGGCACTGTCGAGCTCAGCACGCCTTGGGAGGAAGATTAAGTCGCCTGTTAAAACGCCTGGCCTTGGACCAATGGATCATTATGCATTACGTCTCCAACGGAAGGGAATGGATTCTGTAAGAAGGCTCCCTTTTGAGTAAAATAAAAATTAGGATTAGCGCGTCATAAATCGTGCGTTATTAGACCAGTGATTCCCAACATTTGCATCAAGAAACCAGCTAATTCAGATAAACTAAAATAACAATTTTACTATTTTGCAGCGCAAATACAAAATACTTATTACGGTCCTGACCGCCGCTTCTGTATTCAAGGCCATCGAAGCAGCTGAATAAAGATCAAAGTGCTGATAAATAAATTTGGTGGTTTCTACAGGGTGTTTGTAAATAAGTACGACATATTTTAGGAGGTGTTTGCTGAAGTTATTTTGTGAAAAAAAGTTCATATAAACGTAGGTCGAAATATGCTTCGTTTCTGAGATACAGTGTTTAAATTTTAATTTTTTATTTAATTTTATTAATTATTTCAAAGATTTTTAAAGATATTGACTGGAAATTTGAAAAACGCTTTGGAGGGATAAAAGTGCATTTTTTGGGGTGATCCGGATATTTCTACTTGCACCAGAGGCGTTCGTGCGAGAGTGCCACAACCTTTTTTAATAGAAAAATGGTACTTCACTGACTTTTTCCAGTTTTGATATTTTTTTAGAAATCCGCCATCAATTCTAAATGAAATTGGTCATTTTAATTGTTTTCGTAGGATGCACCGTTTTTGAGGAAAAAAACAAAACATATTTTATTGTAGGTTTTGTTAATCTTTTATTATAGGTCTATTTTATTATGGTCAAAGAAAAATGCAATTCAACATTGAAAATAAAAAATTTATATGAATGTGGGTAAAAAATTCTTCGATTTCGAGATACAGGATGTTCAAAATTCTTTGAAATAATTAATTAAAATAAATAAAAAATTAAAATTTTAAACCTTTTTTAATAAAATAATGGTACTTCACTGACTATTTCGCGTTTTGATATTTTTCTAGAAATCCGTCATCAATTCTAAATGAAAACTGTCTCTTCAATTTTTTTTCGTAGGATGCACCGTTTTTGAGGAAAAAAATAAAACATATCGTATTATAGGTTTTGTTAATCTTTTGTTTGAAGGTGCAAGTAGAAATATTTGCATCACCCCAAAAAATGCACATTTATCCCTCAAAAGCATTTTTCAAATTTCTGTTCAATATCTTCAAAATTCTGAAATAATTAATAAAAATAAATAAAAAATTAAAATTTAAACGCTCTGTATCTCGGAAAGGAAGCATAGTTCGATATACGTTTATATGAACTTTTTTTCACAAAACAACTTCGGCAACCATCCCTTAAAATATTTCGCATTTATTTACAAACATCCTGTATATGCTGTGGTATAAATTTACATAAGGCGACACGAAATGCAACAAACACTTTTTCTGAAAAACATAACTTGAAATACTTAAAGAACGTTTAAATTTTTTTAAAGTTGGTCGTGATTTATGAAAAGTTTGAGAACTGCTGCATTCGACTTTATAATCAAGAGAATTTTTAAGATTTGTTGCAGTTGCTTATTTTAATGTCATGATTATAAAAGTATACAATTTAATATGACAGAAGTGTTCGGAAATTAATGGATATACATGAAGTTACCTTCGTACTGTTTCGTTTCCGTAAATATTACAGATCTTCAAAGATTTTTTTATTATTTTTTTAGCAAATTAAGGTGCCTACTTTTATGAAAGTTGCTATAGAGGTTGTTTGGGCTAATCGCAAATGTTTTTTTTTACCTAAACCTACCTAGTATATCTCTAAGCTAAGAATATCTCGAGTATATATTTTTTTGTTGTTAGAAGCAAAGAAATTACTTTATACGAACACAGGTGTGGATGTAAATAAAATTAATATATTTTTTAAATTTAAAGTAATGTAACAGAAAAAGCTGAAGCAAAAAGTAAGTGCATTCATTAAAATTTAAAAAAGTGATTGTTATCTTTTAAAAAATGGAATAAAAAATTTTTTTAAGGGTCTATAACTTTGCATTCTGGACACTGTTTCGGACTTCCTGTACAGTTAGTAATAAATATGATATCCTTTTACTTACTATTACAATTATGTCAATTTTGTTGCTCGTAAATATGACTTTTCTAGCTTCTATCTTTTTTTTTACAGGTATTTCAAGATGAATGTCATATCTTGAAGCCTGGGTTTTGAAAAACGAGGACCCGTATAATGTGGTGCCGATAGACATCAAGAAAGAAAGCAAATTTAAGTTAATCTTTTGGCACCGCAGGCAGGTACAAACTGAACTTTTGAGATGTCAAACTTAATCCGGTCGAAAACTTGAAGAAAGATTTAATAGAGTTCTGGGAAATATAAATAACAGTAGGAATTTTTAATGGATGTAATTAAATAAACGCGAAAAAGTTGGGGAAGTGATTCCTTGTTGAAGATTGTTGGTTTTTAATGTATAAAAAAATCTAAAAAGCTATTACATATACAAAAAAAAAGAGATCGTATTAACTTAAAATAAACCAAACTCTCTGAAACAGATTCTAAAATTGCCATAGTGGTGATAGAAAAAGGTATATGCAAAAAATTACTTGTAGGGGCGGAGGTATTTTTATTACATGAAAGATCTCTTTAATATTCAACAAGAGATCACCTTTTTTCGCAGTTATTGTTTACGCCATTGTACATTTGTTGCATATTTTGCGTTGCTTTCTTTTTTAATGTCAAAATCGAAGTGTCTCTCACGTTGCACGTGTCCTCGCTCTCGTGCAAGGTAGTTCAGTTGACGAGAAATTCTCGTAGCTCGTTGCTACACCATATGACGTGCACAGTTATACTAATTTGTAACATTGGATTTTTTTTACTGTCGCCTTGTAATTTTAAAAGCAAAATTTAAAAATATATTTAGTGTGTCACTAACGTTGCCATGTGGTATATAAGAAAATAATTCCTTCAGGAACACAGGGTGCCCTCAATTCGAGCGGAGGGTGTTCTTCTGTCAAAATTTATTCAAAAAGTTAATTTTGACAAAGGAACACCCACCCACAGATATTTTGCTGTCGAATAAGTGGATACCCCCGGTATATAATCGAAAGTAAGTAACTTGTGCGGTGGAGGGGGCGGCTTATTAGTATTCCGTTTGTTTCGATGATACCACATGGCACTAGCGAAAATGGGCAACCATTCTAACTGGTATGACTGTGGACAGGACATAGCGGTGTGAACCAGCTAGGGGGGGTGTTCGTCAGCGGGCGTCCCTTGCCCGATTCCACCAGGCAGAAAATCGTCGAACTGGCGCATTCGGGGGCTCGTCCCTGCGACATCTCCAGGATCCTGCAGGTCTCCAACGGATGTGTGTCCAAGATCCTTGGCAGGTATAGCATTTTTTGTGGCTGTAAGTTGTGACAGTGGTAATAGTTGTCAAGTTTTCATTGTGTCATGAAGTCGATAATGATTTTTTTATTTTTTTATACAAAAATAGCACCAATGGTAAATTCGTTAATATAAAGCTTGTTCCACATGATGCATTCACTTGCCAAACATGTGCCAGATATTTGCGGACTATTTGGCCAACATTTTGGAAGTTCTACTTAAAATTATTTATTAATAAGTTTACCCCCTTAAGAGCTTGAGGTCATCGAAATTATTTTTCCAGAACTTCACACGTGTTTTTTTAAATCATATCAAAGTTCTCATTTTTCTTAGTAATTCTTATTAAAAAAGTTTTTCAATATCTCATCGCGTTCAAAAGATATAAATTGATATGTATGGAGAGAAACACTGGTTTGATCAAGTCTGTTACTGATTTTATCAACGTCGCTATGAAAACAAGATACTTTTAATGTTTATATTCATTATTGACATCCTTTGTCTCTATAAAACTGTTATTTTACAAAAATATAATGTCATAAATGAATATAAGTTTTAACTGTATCCTTTTTCCAAAGCAACGCTGACAAAATCTGGAAGTGTTTAGTTTCTCAATACGTATCGTCTTATATCTTTTGAAAGGGGAGTAAATATCTTATATATTTTCTTTAAATAAGCACTTTCACATGATGAAAATTACGGGGAAAAATTATTTAGTACGACGTCGCATCCTTTGAGACGGTAAACTTACCAAAATGGAATTCTAAATAAAATATTTCGTGTCGTGCCAGAAATATCCCCGCTTGCGGTTTCCTATCTGCTATTTCCATTTTCCTGTATTGATAACCAACAGTCAGTTCTGTGTCATACTTTGAGAACACGAACACGAATCGATATGCACCATCTACACGATACTGCATTTGTATACATTTGGCAAATATTTGGCAAGTGGTGGCATCATCTACAGTCGATTTAATAAATATTGACATATTCCTTTTAAATATTTCCTTATTTATCGTTTTTTTTTCTTTCAATTTTAATTAGACAAATTTTTAAAAAGTTTGTCCTTTTGATTGTACAGTTTTTGGTAGAGTTGATCATTTCCCTCTTATTTTACTATTATTTCTTTCATTTTTTTATTTTATTTTTTTTAAGCAGTTAAGTATGTATATTGTATTCATTGTTCCTGTCTCTCTCGTTTTCTTCAAACGCTCATACATGTTAAAGCTTTATAATTCTTTGAAAAATTGTTTCTTTTTATAGAAACTCATTTTTCTTCAATTTTCCTAGATTTCTTCGCATATACTTGATCACTATTTCTGACATACGTATACAGTAGGGTTCATTTCCGTTATTTTTGTGAATTGCCCTTTCAGATGACATGACCTTTTGAAATACCTATATATATTTTAAGATTTATCGTATTCATGGCCTTAGTTACCCGAAATAGACGTAGGAAGTAGCAATTTGTTCGACCACACTCTTTGTCATTTCAGATATTTGATGTCTGTAAAGCACCTTACCTTTCTCTGTCCCCAGATACTACGAAACCGGCTCTATCCGACCGCGGGCCATCGGCGGATCTAAACCCAGGGTGGCTACCGCGGAAGTCGTCTCCAAAATCTCCTCCTACAAGAGGGAATGCCCGTCTATATTTGCCTGGGAAATCAGGGACCGGTTGCTGCAGGAAGGGGTCTGCACCAACGACAACATACCGAGCGTAAGTTTTTTTTTTCGTACACAATAATAATATTTCGTTCCCTCTCCCACACAAATATCCGGTTTTCGGGTAAATTCTTCAAAGGCCTGATAGACCAGGGCGGATCTGTTTTGAGGTGAATGTGAGAGCCGGCAAGCAAATTTGGTGTGTTGTTTTATTATACTCTAAAGTTTTTTTACCAAAATTAGAATGCCCTTGGAGCAATTAAAATATTTTTAAAAAATTATCCAAAAAACTTGATTATTTTGTCTTTTTTCATGAATTATTGCTATTTTACAACATCGGTAATAAATTTAAACATTTTTAAGTTACAGTATGTTGTTTCTATAATATTATGCTAGACAGCAGATCACAAAGTTAAACTTGGGCAAAAGGAATTCGATCAAAAATCATAACGAATTTACCAAAAATCATCAATTTTTTTGTCAAAAAAATATTAATTAACATTTGGTATTTTGAAAATCTAAAGAGAAATATGATAGAATAAAAACAATAAAAGTAGGTAGTTCTAAAAGTTGATTCAAGGTTGTAAGGAAAGAAATTATGAAAAATAGTTGCAAATGTGTTTAAAAAAAATTGCAACTTCTAGGCTACACACAGATAAGTGGGACAAAAAGACACCATCGCCAATAAATCGAGCCAAGCGCGAACTATCGCCGGTTATCAAATTCGTGCCGACGATAAAATCGATGCGCTAATATTTGGTTTAGGTCAAGAAGGCCGGGGACGCGTGGGGGTGCAGTGCTCTCTTCTTGCGAGGCAGCCGGCAAATCTATGCACCCTCCGTGACTCCACTACACACTCTTTACGGTTTGCTGCCTGCGACCCCTCGCATTACACAGCATAATTCCACGCCACCGGTTCGATATACGGATCTTAGTTTAAAATTGTCTTTCGGATCCCTAAGATCCGCGTCGCGACGGAACAAACAACCCCTTCTTAATGTGGAAGGCGCGTCCGCTGACGGAAACTAGAAATACACTTATAATGCCGCGCTACTAAGCCCGGTGACAATAAACTCTTCGCCCCTGCAATGTTTTGCGTTGAAAGTGCACCTATTTGTATTCGTTTAGTATATGATGTTTCCTAACAAGTCTGAAATATTTCTGAGGGTGATTCTTCAAATTGATTTATGAAAAAGAGTATTCGTATTAACGTATAGAGTGATAAGTTTTATTTCTTTTTGCCTCCTGTGAACAATTTTTAAAAATTTGGCTGAGCCAGCATAAACTGCGATTGAACGTCTACCCTAGTATCTTAAAGTTCTATAACCAGAGCAGAAGTCTCTGGCCAGTGTTAGTACACGACCCAAATTCATGCATATTCGTTGCTTTTCACTACCTTGAAACTGTCTTAGCTTATTTAGGGTAAAATAGGTTCCAAGGGTATACTAAGGGTTCCACACGACAAGAGAGCTTTTTAACAGGAAAAAAATGGGTATGTTTCTAGAAAAAAATAATTGATGACGTCATTAGTCGTTTCTGTCAAATCCCAAGGCTATAACTTGTAAACTATTCAACTTACCTATTCCAGATTTCGTGTGAGTTATTAGACAGTGACAAGGAATGAGAGGATACGATGCCAATACGTTCTGGTAATAATAACGCAGTTTATAAATGTTTAATTCAAAAGTCATAAATAAACTTCTTCTGATCTAATCAATATTTTTTGACGCTCGAGGGCTAGTTTTGTAGGTCTTTTGAAGACGAAAAAAAGTACTACACTATTTTCTCGTGGAAATGAACGGAAAAAAGTTATAAGCGAAAAACGTGAATTTATGTAAAAATTATACAATTAACCACCCTGTAAACAATCTTCCCCCCATTTTTATGACTTAGGAAACTAATATGTTATTATACATAATATTTAGCATCTATAGTGATAAATTCAGCTTGCCGAAACAAAAAGTCGCGTCCAACTCTATATTTTCTGGACTATTGCTTCTTTCACGACCTGGTGGCATCTCGACGCAGACAGTCGTTCTCTTAAATCTATCAACGATGTCTATAACTCTTGTTTCAGTTATTTTTTTTCCTTTGTTATTACTAATCTCACTGTATGAATATTGAGACTAAGAGAAAAAATGAGAAAATTAATAGCCAGCGTGCTATATTTCTTAAGGTGGCCATATTCCTGGCCGAGAAATAGTGAAATTTCTGGCGTTTTTAGGTACTGAAATCTTTAAAAGTAAAACGTGTAGAACAAAAGTAAGCACACAAATAAAATCCTGTATAATATGTATGTATTGTTTATTCATTGTTACCATTTAAATGTACTCAAATAAAATAATAATTAAAAAAAAAAGCGTTTGTAAAACACGCGTTTGCTGTTATCCTAACCCCACATTTTAAGAATTATTTTCACGTACTTATAAATAAAAGTAAACAATTTTATATGTAGGACTAAGCAAGTAAATGTTATAAGAATATTTACATGTGGAATTATATATAAAAAAGTTAGTATTTTCGTAGATTTCAGTACCTAAAACCTTGATGGTTTGATCATTTTTTGCACCTGTTTATTCGTTTTACTGCGGCGTCTTTGAAAATACTCAGGTGGCATGACATAACATTCCTATTATTTGATAAGCTTTAGATTATTCAGTTATTAAATGTTTGAAATTATTTGCCTTTGCGGAAAATACTATTTAAATAATATGGGGCCCTTAAGGAATATTCACTATTCCGAATTTTCTCTTTAGAACCCTACGCTCGCACATAAGCTAATGAAATCCCTATCAGTTTTTAATATAAAACAAAGAATCGGCCGATTCGCATCGCCCTCCGTGCCTCATGAGACCCCAAAGGTTCTCATCGAGATTACATCGGTATTTCGAAATTAAAATCCAAACAATCAACATGCTCCTGATTGCAAGTACCTTATCCATTATTAGTCGCGCTGTCGAAGTTCGCTGTCAATGGTGCAGGTCACGTACGTCAAAAAGGAACCAGCGGGACACCGTTTCATTGACTGTCGCCCCGTGATGCCCATTGTGACCTTTGCCATCAAACTATTGTGCTCCGGTAGCAATAATGCTGAAAACTTCGACATAAAGACCCTCGCGGGATGGTTTTTTTCTCCCTCTGCCGCGAGGAACGACTCGGTCTCCGCTCCTTCGAGGTGCACTGCACATGCAGTTCGAGCGGGTCCGTTCCCAAAGCAAGGTGGCCTTGTTCTTTGACGTTTGACGTCTGTCGGTCCGTCAGCACTTCAGCGTCCGACAGGCGGATCGGTTTCCTTCAAACAATACACCTCGAGAGCCTGTGAACCACTTTCTTGGCTTTGGGAGCACTGGATCCTTTATGAAGTCGATAATTGAAGTCTAAAGTGGTAAAATATCACTATACTGCATTTAAAACGGACTTTTGCGAGGTTTGCCTGAAGATGAGGTTCAAGATATGTCCGAAAGTGGGGTTTATTTATTATATTATCACTATTTATGCGAATATTTGCCTTTAACTTATATACGAATGTTATATGTATTTAGTCAAATGATATGACAAAAAAATACTGGCTTAAAAAATAGTTATTTACACCATAAAGGATGTAAGTATTATTTAGAGTCCGAGACTGGTAAATTATACTTAACACACACAGTTCTTTATGGTTCATAAAATAAAGATTAGGTTTTATTTTTTGACATTTCTTAATCAATTCATTTTGACATTATTCGAAATCTTGCCCGAAGTCGCATTGGTTATTTTGATTTTGTAGTTTATAAAGAAAGCTACATAAAAGTTGCAATTTTGCTGGTTTTTGAATTATTATTTCTAAATGAGTGATTTTCAAATAGAATGTGCAGCAAATGCTGGCTGCGGATTTTTATTGCCCGAAAAGTAGAAAGTGAGCTACGAAAATTTGAAAGAATGGTGCCAGAACAAAAATACCTGTGTTTCTGTAATGTCACTGCTGTCAAGAACTTTAAAGTCACCGGCGGGTTGTGGAGTGAATACTCAATGATTAAGTCAACTATTTTCATAGAGGAGAACGTGGATATATCAAAATACCCCAAGCTGAGAGCAATTTTGAAGCGTAAGAATGACCTAAATATACCTAAAAAGTCAAACGTTTTTACAAGAGAACAAGTCAACGATTTTCTCATTCAGACACTCGATAACACATATTTGCTAATGAAGGTAGTGACAGTGACGGTCTTAGGTATTGCAGGAGCATGCTGTTCTTATGAGTTATGCAAGCTTACTTTGAACAACGTCAATTTCAAAAATTCTATGACATTATTGTAGTTACAATTCCAGATTTTAAAAATGGTATGTCATATACGTTTACAATTACTTCTCGTCTTGGTTCTGTTTCTCACCTAGAAATTCTCAAGAAATATATCAAGATTAGATTGGAAATTAAAACTGAAATTTCACGCTCGTTTATGCGCTATCAAGCAGGTAGATGTTACAACCAACCAGTCGGCAAGAATACCCTTTCTGTGATTCCTAATAAGATTGCACAGTTTTTGAAAGTAGAACATCCTGAAACATATACAGGCCATTCATTCCGAAGAACATCGGCAACGTTACTGGCTGGAGAGATGTATTAGCAATCAAGAGACATAGTGGGTGGAAATCAGCCACATTTGCAGAAAGTTATGTTGCTGACATTCTTTACAATGAGACTTCAACTCCAGGTTCTAGTAGTACGTCGCATCATGCTATTTTAATGAATCAGTCAGATAATATTGAGCATCCATTAATAAGAAGTGGATCTTATTTGTGGAAGGGCGAAATGGGCGGTGACTATTAGACGCTTTCATTATAGCCATCTTTCCCTATCGCACGGATTTCTAAGACTTTCTTTATCGCTCTCATGTAACGGCCGATAAACCATGGGGACTTTCCGACCCTGTATGTATATTGGTGTTATTCTCTTCCTACACCAAGGTCTACAATTATTATAATTAATGTTTCGAAAATCAATCTTTCTTGATAACTTAGTAAAGTAAAATCAATATTATTTTTGTTGTGGCTCAGAAAACTCAGAAAACCGCC